CGCGCGGACGCGTCCCTCACGTTTCTGGGAGGGACGCGGTCACCCGGTACCTCTCCTCCCTGCAAACCAGGTGGGATTCACCCCGGGCCCCCTCGCTGGAGGAGATAAACGTAAACGTGTGCATAACCCTTCCGAGAGGGCTGGTTTGAACACAAAACCTCCGCCAACAAGGAACTGACCTTGCATGTGAGATCCACCAGAATAAAGGGAGGATCAGGGTCTCACCACACACGTGCACCCACCGCAGCTGGTGGTAGGGTTTTAATACATAATTAAATACTGTGTGTAATCCCTTTGCACCCTTACCTTGAGAAAAGAACCCTGGAAAAAAAAAGTAATTCATAACCTTTATTTGCCAACTTTATTACAAAAGGCACTGGAGGCACATGCGCTTTGTGTGTATCGGGGCTGGAGTTCAGCAAGGGTTAGCCCTTTTGCAATACAGATTTAAAAAATAGTAGTACTTTGGGAAAATACCCAAAAGGCTGCCCAATGAATACAGCATTAGTTTTAAACCTGCATCAAGGCTCGGCTTTGCTGCTCATGTCCAAACACTCTCATACAAAATTCTACTTTTTAGTCTCCAAGAGAAAGAAGGGAAAGGGCTCCTGATCCGTGAGCAGCGCCAGATGAAGGAGCGTTACAGGCAGCCTTGAGGCTGGGTTAAGTAAGGAAAAGTACTGGGCAAAAGGAACAGAGTTGCGCACGCTCCCCAGGAGAGCTGCAGTGAAACAGCTTACCCCCACCGCGTAAGTAGCCTTCAGCCAGATACAGGATTAGCCCCACGCTTACTATGGTGTGTAGGAAACGGAGCCTGCACAACTCGTGCTGCTTTGCAGGGCACTTGTCTGAATAGGATGCGCTCGCCGCTGCCTGGTGTCAGACTGCCGCAGACTGCCTGAAGGGTGACACAAATGTCTTGGCAGTTTCAGTCCACCCGGATCTGGGGACTGAAAATGGATCAAGAGGGTTCAGCATCTCCCACCTTCTCCATTCATCCCTCTTTCCTAGGCAGTCGGGAGTTGCCCTCTTGGATGCCCTCCTCCAATCTTGCAAGAACATTGACCTTAGCACTGAAAACTCTGATCTGACCAGTGCTATGGATGGAAATATATAACTGCCACAGAACTAGTGACTTGATATTTTTAGCATCTACAGGGCAGCTTCAGGCTGCTCCAGTAAAAACCTAAAATCCACAATGCACCTTTGGTCTCTTCTATCCTTTTCAAAATTCTTAGTAAAACTGTAACTAAAACAAACTTTGTAACGATTAGAAAAAGCCTTGGTCTTTCTACCTCACTCCCTCTTTTCATGTCCATGTCAAACCCCTCATTCATTTAAAAAAAAAAAAAAAAAAAAAAAAAGAAAAAAACAAAACCAGGAAAGGATGGGGCATTCCCTGGGGAAGTGCAGACCACACTGAGCATCTCTGCAGGCAGGTCACATTCGTCTCCCGGCTGAGAATTCAAAGAGCAGCCATGCTGCCCAGAACGTGTCGTTGGTCAATGAGTCACCAACTGGATCCTCCAGGACCTGAAAGACACAGGAAGGAATCAAAGCTTCACCACATACGATCTTTAATGATGCCGTGGCTCATGCTGGAAGAGCTCCTTTGGGCAGACATACAGTAGCACAAGGCTGTGTGGTGGGAGGGAACGTCAGCAGTGAGGGCTGCGTGCGTGAGGTGACAAAGTCCTTGTTCCCCTCTAAGTTCAGGTAGAGTAACGCATCTGCACCGGACGTGGGTGTAAAAGTGACAAACACAACCAGTGCACAATTCAACTCTTAGTAATTCAGAGAAGAGCAATTCCCTTCCCTTTGCCCCACGCATTGGCAAATGCCTTCTATAAGAGCAAGTAAATGACAGAGGGTAAGACCAAGAGGAAATAATTAAGAAGGGAGTGATCACCTGAACAAGGCAGCTCTGTTCAGGGAGGGGAAAGAAATGTTTCCAAAATGAATTTCTTTCTTTTTTGTTTGTTTGCTTCTTTTGTTTTACTCTCATTTTGGCTCTCATGGGATGCATGACCTATGAAAGGCAAACTGAAAGTCAAGGATGGACAAAAGGAAGTGTGCATCTGCACCCCTGTGGTTAAGACACAGGAACCAAACGTGCATATTCCTGCAACAAGCCCAGGGGAAGTTGATTCAGCAAGAAACAGAGTGCCCAGGAAGTCTGTAGAATGCTGTAAAATCATTTACCCATTCAAGCTCTTCCTTTTCCTACAGCACACATTAAAATATGCAAAAATTGCTTTTCTGAATTTCTGAACTGAGTAATTGTTACAAAGATTTCAAGATGTCCCCTTTTGACATCTGCAGGCATCACACGGTATCTTGCACCCCAGCCCACGTTGCACTGAGTGTCATGTTTCTATACCACTGCAAAATCAGTGCAAGAATGCAAAATAGCAAGATGAAAACTCTAGCTACAGAGACTGCATGCTCTGGAAATCTTAGAAAAGGCTCATTCATTATTAATGCCCAAAGCTTTCCTACTCATCTGGCTCACATTATGGTTGGTAAAAAGGCCACTTTCCAAGATACAGATCTTTATATTGATGCTTTCAAAGGCTCAAAAGAGGTTCTGTTACTGCCCTCAGAGCTGCAGCCGCTTCCTATAATGAGGCCAGCAGATACGGTCTGCTGCTTTTCAAAATATCTTTTTAAAAGGTTTTCTCTAGCAGCTTACATTGCAAGAGAAACAAATGGATGCTAACCAATTGGTAGACCAACACATGTGAAGCCAAAAAATAGCTGAAGATACAGTTTAGACAGGGCTTTCTTGGGTCCTATTTTTAAGTAACATTTAATTCACAGATGTGCTCCCATCCCCTCAAAAGCACCAGATTTCTAACTTCTATTCCCTACTGCCTTAGAAGGCATGCAGACTGCATCCAGATCATGGAAGTAACTTCTTTTATCGTTTCCTGTAATAGCACTGCTCTGTACACTGCTATCAGCCATCTCGGAACAGTGTAAAATCCCTTTTCCTCAGCAATAACACAGACTGGGAAATGAAAGTTACATGAAAGATTTTAAGAGGTCTGCGATAGAGTCAAACTCTGCAGAACCCCTCAGAGGGCTCCTCCCTCGAGCAGCCATCTTCCTGCCATCTTTCCACAGTGCTAGGTGAGCCCTCCATTGCTCGAAATGTAAATGACACTTTGGATCTGCACAGGTTGCTTTGGCCATCATTTCAATGACACATTTAGTAAAATTAGGGCCTGATAAGCAATCGCAAGTGGAAAAAACAACAAACCCACCTCTCCTTCTAGCATTTGCTGGATGCTACCCAGGCCATGCTCAGCTTGCTCTGAACTGGATTCCAAAAGGTATGCTTAGATCAAGCATGTTTCATACTAAATACGATGTGAGATTTCACATCTCCTGTCTGAGAGCTACAGCTGGATAGTGTGTATAGGGCTAAGCTCCTTCCTCTGAACGTTAGGTGTGTTCTCTTACCTGGCTTTGTCCCAAGGCTTGGCTTTCTTCCATGCAGGGTGCAGAAACAGGTGGGCACTGAGGCTTGCCAAACACAGTCTGACAGGAACTGGAAGAAAATATGATAATATGCAAATGCATTTGTATTTATGCTCTACTCACCACTTACTGTAGTGTTTTGCAGCAGGACAAGAGGGGCTGCTGGCAAGACTATTCATTCAACTGAGTTCTGTTAATCTGTCTGCAAACCTGCCCCATTTCTCCAAATTGTTATGGCCTGAAAATACAGATTCTGTGCTGGGAGGACTAGCCTGAGCACAGAGGAAAGACAACTCTCCTTATGCCACCAGAACATTCTCTATAAACAAGGAGATGTCTAACAAAATGTCCCTTTCCTGGAACATACTTTAAAAACACAGATCTTGAGAGTCAAAACACATAAACATGTGGCTTCAGACGTAGCCACAACATTGGCTAGAAATCTGCTATAGCTTTTCAAGGCCACCAGTTGAGAGTTTGGGAACATGACTTTCCCATCCATACCTCCCCTGCGAGCTCTGCCAACTGCTTGAAAGAGGTCACAGTCTGCAGGCACAGGGTCAAGTAGGAGACACTGGGTACATGATGATGGGATGTTCTCTCCCTTCATCACCAACTCAGAAGTGTCTATACTCCAACAACACTGCCCATACCACTACCAGGAATAGCCCAGGGTATGAATGGCCATACAGGCCCAGACCAAAGGTGCCAACTAATAGAGCATAGGAAAAAAGTAGAAGAAACAGGGCACGTGTCAAGTTGCCCTTCCATGGAAGGTCCCCCAGGTTCCAGCAATCAGTCTTGGGACTCCTCTGCTGGAGGCTGCATTCAGGCAATTACACATACTAGCAACAACGGGACTCAATCCCCTGCCCCCCCAAGAATTTGTCTCATCCTTTTTCACAGCCCACTTACACCAACATGCACAATGCCCTTAGCAACAAATGCTGCGATTTAATTATGCAACATCCCAAAAAGTAACCCCCTTTGGGGCATTTTGAACTTGCTGCCTGCCAGTGTCAGGGTGCTGAGTTATCCAGAGGGGAGAGCCTAACAGCAGGAGGATTCCTAGTGCTCTGAGCTGGAATCCCAAAAACGCAGGCAGAAGTGGTAAGCTGCAATGAACATCTGATCCTAAATCAATATGCTGGCTCACAAATGCAGTCTGTCTTGCCCTACAGAGTTCAGTGTGCTTTTCTGTTTGAAATGTGAGGCACGAGAGAGTTATATTCTGCATGAACCATTAGCTGGGCTACATTCCACCTGTCCCAACTCGAGGAGTGAAGAGGATGCAACACCACTATCTGTAAAGGCAAGCATCTGTTTGGTGTCCCACAGGGACTTCCAGTTCGCTAGCTGGATCAAACTCTCCTACCAGGCAGCAGGAGCAGATGGAGACACTCAGCTCCCAGCCTGGTTCCCCCCTCACACTCCCACCTCACAGCCCTGTAGATCATAAGAGGTTTGGATACAGCCCAAGTGCGTAGGACCGACTGTAAAAAGCCCATGGAAGAAATCAACTGGAATCGTTCTAATAAGCTTTCAGGCCAAGTCCTTTCCAGGTGAGCACCTTTAAAAAGGAGACAAGCAGATTAAGGGTCCTTTGGCTGACTTGTAGCTCTACCCCTGCACTTACGAAGCAGGGAGCCACAGGTGCTGGCAAGGCAGTGAGAGAATAATACTAAGTCCACTCCAGGTGAGTGACCGTGGATAAAGGATTTCCTTCTCTGTGCTTTACTCTTATCTGTAAAGTAGGGACAACTTCACTGCCCTGTCTTTCCAGGACAGCAATACTCATTTGCCTTACAGTTGAAGCTGCTGACTCTTTCCTGAGTCCCCAGATGAGTGATGCTCATTGAAAGATTATTGCTAAAAATTACTCAGGTGACTCAATACTCCCCTCTAATCCAGTAACTCTGTTAGCAGACTCTGCCTGATAACAAAGGTGATCCTCATTCATTGCCATTCACTGAGCAATCTTACCCAAGACTATCCACGCGAGGCCTCCTGGCTCTCAAGAGAGAAACTGCAAAAAGGCTAAGATGAAATTGCAGCCTAAGCATCACTCATTCCTAAAGAGATTACTGTTCCAACAGCATTCCTGGCATTTTGGGGAGTTCAAGGTTTTGGGGGGAGCTGGACCAGGCTACTAAACAGGGTTTATGAGTAGAGTTCAAATAACTCTATCCTCACCAGAAGGTGTCAACAAAGCAGCAAGTCCTGCCCCTGCCAGGAATATGATAAAGGGTGTGTGGATTCCTGGCACAACTGACATACCCAACAAGGAGACATTCACCATAGATTTCTTCTACCAGCAGAACATACTTTAAAAATAAACATGAGCTCACTCTAGAATCAGAACTTGCAATTTTAAATCCAGCCAAAATATTGCCAGCAAGCCTCACTGATTTTTCATGATCTTTAGCCACTGTTTAAAATGGCAAATCCTAAACACAGACTGAGGTGGGTTTACAATGCCCAGACCTGGGTTCTCCCCAGCAATTCAAAGTGGAGAGTCTGACATGAATGTGAATAACTGTAGACACCAAGCCAACTGAGAAACAGAGGTGAAAGGCAGAAATGTTTTTAGCAGGGAATTGGGAGGCAAAAAACCACTGATCTTTATCTCCAGTGAATCACTGCCTTCCCTTGTTGCTTGACAAAGTTTCTCCATGCCTCTGCTTCCTCATCTATAAAGTGGGAATAAAACTGCTTCTACCTACCTCTTTGACATATTATTGACAGTGTCATGCTAGCACAAATGCTAGACAGTGTCAAGCAGAAGGGCTATGAAATGGGGCTACTGCTCCTGTTCTGCCTTGCAGATCAGTAAATTAAAGGAACCTCGTCATTTCTGTTTGGCAGTGCTTATTTTTATGTAACATTATGGAAGTTGTATAACATATGGAAGATGGCATGGATTTTTGTTGGTTTGCTGCATTCTGTGAATTTATCCCAAGTCCCAGAGAAAACCTGCAGTCTGAAACATGCGATACAGGTAGAAAACAGACAGAACAGTGCCTGTCTTTCTGCCTTCTAATTTGGAAAGCTTGCACTATGGAATAATCTTGTCATGAGGTTATGAAGCTACAAAAACTATTTTAGGATTAAATATGGGCCCTACCAACCCAGCCCACAGAATCAGCCCTCACTGAGATCAGTATAGGTTATAATTTTCTACCAAAAAGAAAAACAGGCAAATAGCTAAGAAGCTAAACCTGCTTTAAAGAGAGGGGTTCATATCTTTTCTGACGAGGCTGGTCCTCCTGAATCTCCTTTGTGCCACCACTGTAAAACACATACACACTTTTACAGTATTTCCCATTTCCAGTGCACATAGATAAATATCTGCAAAATATGA